CCTTGTCCGCCGATTCCAATGACTTTTACCGAGTTGTATCCCTCTTTGGTCAAGCAGGGGCTCATCACCACTCGGGCTTTGGGTCCGCCTCCTAATCCTCTACCCGCCAATTACAACGCCGCCGCTCATTGTTTATTTCATGAGGGTGCGCCTGGTCATGATCTGGAGAATTGTTATGCTCTCAAAAATATTGTCAGGGATTTATTGGAAAAGAAGATTTTGTCATTTGAAGATCCTCAACCAAATGTTAAGAAGAACCCTTTTCCTAACCATGAGAGTGTCAATGCCGTTAGTGTTGATTCGGGGGAAGGTTATGCCCTTGACGTTGAACAGATTAAGACTCCTCTCAAGATGTTCCATTCGAAACTGTTTGAAGCTGGTTTGGTAGATACTTCCCACGTTGCATGCGTAAGTTGTGAAGCCAGTACTAAGGGTTGCGTGTTGGTTCAGAATGATGTTCAGAGGTTGATTAATGAGGGTGTTTTACAAGTGACAAGCCAATACAAGAAAGATGAGGTCGCCGTGGTTGAGCCTGTCTTCCATCAGCCCGAATCAAAGGGTAAGGTACCAGTGTTTAATCTATCAGGGGCAGGCTCCGCCAGTCTCGTGTTCGATATACCGAAGTCGTATATCCCTGAAGTGAATCAGCCTAAGCCTATAGTTATTCGAAGACCGAGTCCATTTCCCTTCAGTGATCCTAAAGCTGTGCCTTGGAAATATGACGTGACAATGATTGACAAGGAGTCTGGGAAGGTTATTCCAAATGAAGAGGCTAAGGGTGCGGTGACCAATATCGCGGAGGTAAGCAGGATGACTCGCAGTGGCCGTGTGTATACCCCCCATTCCAATGAGGTCCCACCTAAGGAAACGACTAGTACCTCGGTGCCTGCCAAAGACAAAGGTAAAGGAGCCGTCACGAATGATGAAGATGCCGAATTTTTGAGGATCATCAAGAAAAGTGACTATAAAGTTATCGATCAACTTCATCAGACTCCTTCCAAGATCTCGATTTTATCTCTGTTAATGAGTTCGCCCGCTCATAGGATGGCCTTGCAGAAGGTTTTGACTCAAGCACATGTGGATCAAGATATTAGCACCAGTCGGTTTGATAGTGTGATTGCCAATTTAACCGCTTGTAACACCCTCAGTTTCAGCAATGAAGAGTTACCGAAGGAGGGTCCGAACCATAATCGTGCTTTACATATATCGGTAAAATGTCAGGAGGACAATTTAGCGAGAGTGTTAGTAGACACCGGGTCTTCTCTGAATGTTTTGCCCAAGAGGGTTCTTGATAGGCTGGCTTGTAAAGAGACTGCGCTGAAACCTACTCCGTTGGTTGTCAAGGCTTTCGATGGCTCTCGTCGATCGGTAATGGGGGAGGTTGAGCTACCTATCCTGATCGGTCCGCAAGTTTTTAATATCACGTTTCAAGTCATGGACATTAACCCCAATTACAGTTGTTTACTTGGAAGGCCGTGGATCCATGCCGCTGGGGCAGTGACCTCAACGTTACATCAAAAGATGAAATTCGTGATCGATGGAAAGTTGGTTATTATACACGGTGAGGAGGATCTGATGGTCAGTAACCTGTCCTCTTTCCGTTACATCGAGGCCGATGAGAATGCTTTAGACATCTCCTTTCAAGCACTTGAGATCGCCAATGCTGTCCTGCTGGAAGTCGAAGAAACAGTGGGTCAGGGTAATCCATCTTTTGCATCTCTGAAAAGTACCAAAGCAACAATTGACAGGGGCATTCCTGAAGGTTGGGGAGAGGTAATCGATGTCAAGACCAAGACTGATCGCTCTGGGTTGGGTTACAAACCAACTCAGAATGGAGTTACCACAACTGTCGAAGGGCGTCCTAAGGTTATCCAAGAGGTATTTGTCAGCGGAGGTTTTCAAGTCAATGCCATCAACGACTGCGAGGAAAATGAAGAGCTGAGCAACCTGGTGTTTAAGGGTGATGCAGTTTTGAACAACTGGGAGGCTGTAGAGATCCCTGTTATCTTTCCCTTGTCAAAGTAATTGTTTTTTTTAAAGTGCCATTTACATTTTCAAAAAAAATCCGTAGCTCTGCCCAAGGCTATAGGGTCGTTTTATCGGGCCACCTTTCATTTCTAAAAAGATATTAATAAAAGCATTTTGTTCAATTCCACTTTGGTTCATTTGCGTTTTTCGTTTTCACCTTTAAAAATGAAATTGGCAACCTTTTTTCCCAAAAAAAAAAAAAAAAAACAGCATTTCATTCTTACATATCTTCGAGCATTTTAATTAAGTAAGCCTTCCATCATGCAGAGATATCGTAAACCTTGTTGGATCCAATGACTTTACTGACACTCCTGACTGGGATGCACCCATCAATTAGGCTGAGGACGAGGGTGAAGAAGATTTTGAAGTACCCGCTGAACTGACAAGATTGATTGAGTACGAGTACACAGAGATTCAACCGCATAAAGAGTAGGTGGACCTAATTAATCTCGGTACAGATGAGAGCAAGAAAGAGGTCAAGATTGGTGCAATGCTTGGGACGGAGATTAGGCCGAGGTTGATTGAGTTGTTAAAAGAGTATATTGATGTGTTTGCGTGGTCGTATCAGGATATGCCGGGCCTAGACACGGATATTGTTGTTCACAAGTTGCCACTTAAGCCAGATTGTCCACCTATCAAGCAGAAACTCCGAAGAACGAGACCCGACATGGCTTTGAAGATTCGAGATGAGGTCAAAAAGCAGTTGGATGCAGGTTTCTTGGCAGTCGCAAAATATCCAGATTGGGTTGCCAACATCGTGCCAGTGCCTAAAAAGGACGGTAAAGTTAGGATGTGTGTAGACTACAGGGATCTGAACAAAGCGAGTCCGAAAGACGACTTCCCACTGCCACATATTGACACACTGGTAGACAATACGGCCAGTTTTGCGTTGTTCTCATTTATGGATGGTTTCTCTGGCTATAATCAGATCAAGATGGATCCCGATGATCGAGAGAAGACTACTTTCATTACTCCTTGGGGAACCTTCTGCTACAAAGTCATGCCCTTCGGTTTAAAGAATGCAGGGGCAACTTACCAACGCGCTATGACCACCCTTTTCCATGATATGATGCACAAAGAGATTGAGGTGTATGTGGACGATATGATAGCCAAATCTCAGAGTGAAGAGGAGCATTTAGACCATTTGGTGAAGCTGTTTGAACGACTCAGGAAATATCAGTTGAAATTGAATCCTGCAAAATGTACCTTCGGTGTCAGATCTGGAAAACTGCTTGGTTTCATTGTTAGCCAGCGAGGGATTGAGGTGGATCCTGACAAAGTCCGAGCCATTCAAGATATGCCGGCTCCGCGAACCGAGACGCAAGTTAGGGGTTTTCTGGGACGTCTGAATTACATTTCCAGGTTTATCTTTAATATGACCGCCACTTGTGAGCCGATATTCAAGTTGCTTTGCAAGGGGCAGACAGTTGAGTGGAACCCTGATTGTCAGAAAGCTTTTGAGAAGATTAAGGGTTATTTGCAAGATCCCCCTATTCTGATCCCTCCCGTACCTGGAAGACCGTTGTTTATGTACCTTACTGTTCTCGAGAAGTCTATGGGTTGTGTGCTTGGGC